CAATTTGATGATTTGCTTGTTAAGATATTGATTGCTGCCGCCATTATTTCATTCATTTTGGCTTTGGTTAATGGAGAGACTGGATTAACAGCATTTCTTGAGCCTTTTGTAAGATATGATAACCTTCTCCCTTGCTTTTCTTTTACACGGAAATCTGTATGAACTTTTAGGAAATTTGACTCTGTAATGTAGCGGTTAAATTGTATCTTGCTGAAGGAATTGTCCTATTGAAGGAAAATAAAATTAATTTAGATGCAGATTTGCCTAGGGATAGAGTAGAAAACTGACTTGATGAGTGATCTTTCTGAAGATTCTGTTTTTCCAGGTCTGTTGATTTGCATAAAATATCATATATAGCTTACCTTTTCCTTAAAGAATTGTATAAGTTGGCCTGGACTTGGACCTAAATTTAGTCTGTTTATGAAATTAAGGGCAGGAGCAATAAACAAAGCATTATTCAATTCTTATTGATGGAGACTGTTAAAATCTCACCAGAGATCCATTTGTAATGGGCGGCTTCAAATGACATACAATAGGATAAACCAAGCTGATCTTGGCACTATTCGGACCTTTTTTTTTTATAGAAATTACTTGGCACTATTAGACTTTGGTCTGCATGCTTACTTAGTGCTGCAATAGGCACTACTTGAGAAATATGTTGTGGGATTATGCTTGAGAAATTTATGATAGCAAATTTGGCATTCTCTATCCTGGTCTTTGTATATCTTAACATATCCCTATTTGATTTTGTTGCTTTTGCAGGTTATCCTGCTGATATTGGCTGCAAATGCAGCTGTAGGGGTCATTACAGAAACAAATGCTGAAAAGGCTATCGAAGTAAGCTCCGGAGTCTTCTAACATTAAATTTCAGATTTGGCAAACATCTAATTGGAGATAGCAAGTTTTTGGGTATTGAAGTGGCTAGATCACAGTTGGTTTTGGGATGAGGTTGTTAATAGAGTTTCTAGAAGGCTTGAGTGGGGTGCTTTGTTCTCTTTGGATGGTAGAGTAATTTTAATTTTGGGTTGTCTCTCTAGTATTTTGCTTTATTGTCTTTCCTTGTTTAGCTTTTAGGGTGACTGAGAATTAGAGAGGGACTATGGGGAAGTTTCTATAGTTTGGGATAGGGGAGTTGTTAGGAGATCACTTGGTGAGATAGAGTATATTTTCTTTTTTTTTTTGGCTTGGGCATTGGTAATTTGGTTTCAAACAGTTTACTATTAGTTAAATGATTTTGGTGTTTTCCGCAAGAACCTTTTTCTCTATGTCACAGCATGATTAAGAGCATGTATGGTATTCACAGGAATGGATGAATTCTGTTGCTAGAAATTCACTACTCATAAAAGCCCTTGGAAGGCTCCTGTCTTCATGGTCTGTTTATCTTTTTTACATGTCTTAAAGTTGGAGATGGATCACTTATTTTATTTTGGGAGAATCTCTGGATTACTGATAGTCCTTTAACCAACTAATTTTCTTGTCTTTATAACATCTCCATATTTCTAATTTTATTAACCATTTGGAGGGCTGGAATTTGCCATTTTTAATATCTTAATGTTTGGTGGAGACAATTGACATGTTAGCCTTGATAAGCCTATTGGAGAACAACTGTTTTGTCACTAGCCTGATAGCAGGACTTGGATCTTAGGCTCTTCAAATTGTACACTTGTAAATCATTTTTTTTTTTAACTAGATTACCCATAGCCCTTGCACTATGATACTTCTTTACCGATGTGTTTTGAAAATTGGTAGCTCCTTCAAGGTTAAGGTTTTTGCTTGAACTGTTGTATTCACCATGCTTAACACTAACGAATTGTTATAAGCTTGTTAGCCTAATCATGCTTTCTCACCAGATATTTATGTTATGTGCTTATGGAAGGGTGAGGCTTATGACCACCTCTTCCTTCACTATAACGTGGTTGGACGTTGTGGATTAGGTTGTTTGATACTTCTTGGTTGGTGTGAGTCACTCTCTCTTCGCTAGAGTGTTTCATGAATTCGAAGTGTGAGGTTCATGATCACCTCATCCTTCACTTTAACATGGATTCACGTTGTGGGCTAGGCTGTTTGATACTTTTAGGTTGGTGTAGGTCGCTCCCTCTTCACTAGAGTGTTTCATGAGCTCGAATCTGTATGGAGAGGAGGTGAGAAAGAATGCTAGAATGCTTTGAGAGGATCTTTGTTATGGGTTTGTGGATGCTGTGGTTCTAGGGGCAATTATGAAGGCTTGGTAGTGGTGGAGGTGGCTAGCGGCAGGACGGTGGTGGCCGGCTATGAAAGTTGGTCTCTTTTAGTTTTTTTTTTTAAATTTTTATTTCTGCAGTGAAGGCTGAATAAAATTTGTAAGAGAGTTTTGGATTTCTTAACCTAAAACTCTGATACCATGTTAAAAATAGTTCTGTAATTGATGTGTATTTTATTGGAATTATAGCGGTAAATATATAGATTTTACAGAATAGAAAAGAAAGTAGACAATTAATTATATTTAATTATAAATTGTGTAATTTTACTCTTTAACTTGATTTGCTTCATCTCTAACATCCTGATTTACTTTTTCTGTAATACCTTGATTTACTTCTCTTTAATATCATGATTTTTTTTTACTCTTTAACACCATAATTTACTTCCTTTTTAATACAATGATTTTCTTTCTCTTTAATGCATGCAAATTGGGGGCAATATTGAATTTATTTATTTCTTTGGGGTGTTTTTGCCGATTTGGCCTTCTAGATTTGTTTGATCACATGTAAATATGTTTTTGATGGTTTTTCTTTTTTCACAAGATATTTGACATGTCCTCTGATAATTTGCAAGTATGTCTTGATGGTTTCTTTGATAGGTCTCTATCATTTCTTATGATCTCATTCCAGTTATGGGCAATAGGAAGCTGAACGGGGAAGGGATTGGAATATACTAGTCCATTAACTTCATCATTTTCCCTAAATAAAATTGTTCTTTTCCTCTTCCTTTAAATAAACATTGAATTCAGTTGGTTTTGACATTTATTTTTTCTTTATAATGTAGGAGCTTCGTGCTTACCAAGCAGATGTCGCAACTATTCTGCGAAATGGTAATTGTTAAAGTTGTTCGTGTTTTGATGATATTGTGACTTATTCAACTTGTTACTATCCTTTCTTTACTTAAACAACATGGTTCAAGTTGTTTCTGTATAATCTATAACAAACTATTGGAGAGGAAATAAAAGTAATCGATAATGACCTGTTTGACTTAATTCCTACTCTATCTTTTTCACTTTGGTAAAATATTCTTGACATGTAAATTTATTATAACTTTATTCTTTGAACCAATTTCGCTACTTTTAACTTCTCGAAAGGAGATCTTTAATTGCAACTTTGCTAGCTAGCAAGCCTTGAATAAGAATGGAATTGGTTTTGATAATCCAATTCTATAGATTAAAGAGATTTTAAGAATTAAGAAATGTAATAAAAATTGAGTGAAAATTGACCTGAATGAACTGTGAGAAAATTAGGCTAGAACACCGGAAAACAAGAATTTTGAAGTCCATTATTTTCTTCATAAAATAAGAAGCATTTTCAGAAAGAGGCGAAACATTCTAGCCAAAAAAAAAAGAAAGAGAAAAGAAGATGCATTAG